ACAATTTAATTTTATCCTGAGAATGTCCAAAAATTTGTTAGGATTAGAAAAGTGGAAGCATCACAGGGAGTCAGAAAACCTGATATAAAATTCCCCTTTAAAATTCTTCTTTCAGGCCGGGCGCGGTGGCTCACGCCTGTAATCCTAGCTCTTGGGAGGCCGAGGCGGGCGGATTGCTCAAGGTCAGGAGTTCAAAACCAGCCTGAGCAAGAGCGAGACCCCGTCTCTACTATAAATAGAAAGAAATTAATTGGCCAACTGATATATATAGAAAAAATTAGCCGGGCATGGTGGCACATGCCTGTAGTCCCAGCTACTCGGGAGGCTGAGGCAGAAGGATCACTCAAGCCCAGGAGTTTGAGGTTGCTGTGAGCTAGGCTGACGCCACGGCACTCACTCTAGCCTGGGCAACAAAGCGAGACTCTGTCTCAAAAAAAAAAAAAAAATTCTTCTTTCAGAATTAATCTATGAATGTTCCCATGTTTCTTGCTAGATGACCCTGTTTCTCCGGAATAATCTTTCTCAAAAAGTGTTCCAAACCTGAGACATGAGATCAATAACCTGGCACTGTGATATGCTCCAGAAGGACCAGTGTTAAAGAAGGTAACTAAGGGCTCTTTCATCCAGACAATTACTCATCCATTTTGCCTGGTCAGTTATGAGGCCCGTTTAAGAAATAGCCACCCGATTTTTGTTAGATTTATGCAACTGGAAGACAACAAGTCCAACATTTTCACCATACATATGAATGTTTTACTGAAAATGCTGAACTATAGTTAACCAAAATCTATCCAAATATCCTCTATAATAGAGAATGATTACAACGTACTGTATTAGATAATGCTTTCTAATATCCACCTCCGTTTAATATGCCTCCTGTAGTACCACCTAAGTTAAGGCAAATGCTCCATGTCTGTGGAACCCTTTAAGTGTTTTCTGTATTACAAACACTAAGGAGGAGGTGTAAAAAAAAAAATACCATTGGAAATAGACATAAAAGAAGATAACTTCACATTCTCAGAGGCCAATTCTGCCATTCTGATGATTTGGCAGGTACAACTTAGCACATCAAAAAAAAAAAAAAAAAAAGACTATTTCTCTGTCTGTACATATTATTATAAAAGCTTGGGAATGAAAAACAACTGATTAAAGTCCAAGTCCAGTTTTTGTTTCTTTTTTTCCAAATTACTCCTTTCATTGAGGAAGGCTCCAGAAACATCCATTTCAGCAACAAAGGGGACGAGTTTGCACTTTTTAGAGAAAGATGCCATGACTGTCTCTAATCTTATGCAAACCCAACATCCCACCTCCACCTCCCCTCCATAATAGGTCCTTGCCCTTGGTTAGGGCAAACCATTAGTAAATTACTCATGCATTTAATCTGAGAATACACGCTTGTTGAATAGACATCTTACTAAATATCTTTTGTTTCAGTAACTGCGTCTTTACTAGAGGAAACCTGTTCTTGTAAGATAACCTTTATTCTCAGGGGCAGAGAGCAAGGCTTCATTTCATTTTCAAGGAGGCTGGCCCTCCACCATGGTTCCTGACCGACTGGCTGTGGCTTTACACATCTCAAGCAGTTTTCCAAGAATCTCTTTCTGTCTAGTACACAAGGGAGTCGAAGTTTCCCCTTATATTGTGGTAATGTTGGGGACTGAAATGCAAACCTAGTCATAGTATTTTAAAAGAATTGTAGAAGCATTGAAGAATTCTACCTATTAAATGAAATTTATAGGCAGCCATTGTTTTGGACCAAGCTCCTGCACTAGGCCCCAATGAAATAGAACAAACCAAAATGGAGTCACTCATGCTAAAGGTCCATGTCACCAAACCTAAGCTAAGTTGATTATCTGGCCTTTTGAGAAAAATTGGGGTAGAAATGATAGCCAAATCCCCAAACAGGCTGGTTTTAGCTGGCATGAGAAGAAATCCCTTCTGCTTTAACTCTTACAAGGAAAGCAACCTGAAATGAACCAATCTGCTTTTTGCGTTATGCTGCTTTCTTGTTACTGCTCAAACTTCCTTATACTGACTAATGGAGCACTTGAATTTTTAGATGAGGTATCCAATACATGAATCACTAATAGCCAATTAGATCTTTAACCTAAATATGCTGGAATTTTGTTTTTTAACAGTACTCAAATAAATGAACTAGAAATTCAGCCAGGAGGCTGAGCTCTCTGAATCAGTCCTGATTAAGTGCTTGTTTTCTGGGTATTTCTCATCTTTCTAATGCAAACCAAAACTAATCCCAAACCATTTATTCCAGCACAGCAGAGATATTCAAGTGGAATTAAAGTTCATATTAAATCTGGCAGGCCTGGTGGTAGCTGGGGTTCCTCCAGAGGAGACTTGTTCAAATTTGCTGGTCTTTTTAGAGTTTAGAGAGCAGAGTTTTAGTTTTAGCAAGAACTTTTTTCCTCCTTTGGAAATGAATTAACAATGGCTGTTAATGTTAACGTTTATGAACACAATGTTAAAAAGTAGACCAAACACAACACACCTTATTTCTACTTGCTAAGAAGGTGTTGCCTTTACTAACAGGGGCAGGCAGGCATAAATATTATTTTATTATCAATATTTTCATTACTGTTGTTAAATATCTACCACTACAGCAGATACCAAAGAATTTCAGGATCTCTGTCTTCAGAAAGCTTAAGGTTGTATTAGAATAAGACAGATGAGTCACTAATGAATAGCACAAGACACTGTGTTATGTGGTGGGAGCATTTTTGGTCTCAACTAGGTTCTGAAGGAATTCAGAATACTATCTTTGTGGAATTGAGAGTGACTGAGCAAGAGTTCCTACAAAGAGAAAATTTGGTCTGGCCCTTGAAATACAGGATGCATTTGGATCAAGAGAGACAAAACTAAAATTACATGAAGATAATCCATAGCCAGCTGTGTGCTGCATGTGGGCAGGCAGATGGCAATATAAAGGAGGAGAAGAATCTACAACTAGACTCACTGCCAAAAGGTTCAGGTAAGTGAAAAAGGAGTTTTTAGATAAAAGAAGAGATGAGAGGGGATACTTAGTAGATACTATATCTTCTAGCTGCAAAACATTTCCATCCAATAAATTCAAAGACACGAGTTCAAGTGCAAGTAATTATATCTCATGCCATTAATGACAGAGGACATAATAGTAATACTTGATGTACATGAAATAGTGGCATACAAGGAGAGTAGCAGACATTTGAGAAGACGATGCCAGCTATTACCACTATAGTCCCCCCCATGAAGTTTTCCAGGTGCACAGATCTGCTATGAGATTATGGGCTGGTGAACCTGGGATATGACAAAACAAAATTTGGAAAAACATTAAAAAGGGACAAAAACGCAAATCCGGATAAACATGCCTTTCAGGCATTTCCACTGCCTTAAAAAGGAAAGATGTAAGTCTTTGTGCTCGATTCATCATCTGCACTGACAAACCCTAGGGAGGGTTTTCTCCAGGTATCTTAGATACCTAAAATGTTGGACAGAACCTTCCAAGCTCTTCCACAAGTGGATTGGTTTCTGTTGCTGAAGTGAGCTACTCACTTTGCACAAAGAAAGGGGTGGGAGCCTGAGAGCCCGAAGCCCTTTGGCTGGTCTCACCCTGAACTGCTGCTCAACCCATCCCCACCGGTCACTCAGCAGAGCAGCTAGGAAACCTCAACATAATATTTGTACCTCTTAGAATGCAACTTGACAACCACTGTCTCACTCTGTTGCCCAGGCTAGAGGGCAGTGCCATCAGCGAAGCTCAGCTACCTTAAACTCCTAGACTCAAGCGATCCTCCTGCTTCAGCCTCCCAAGTAGCTGGGACGACAGGCACGTGCCACAGTGCCCAGCTAATTTTTCTATTTTTAATAGAGACAGGGTCTCTCACTCTTGCTCAGGCTGGTCTCAAACTCCTGAGCTTAAGTGATTCTCCCTCCTCGGCCTCCCAGAGTGCTAGCAGTACAGGCATGAGCCGCCACACCTGGCCTACCCTCTCATTTTTAAAACGTGGAAAAACTGAGGCCCAAAGACTAGAAACGCCTGGGGTCACTGCGCTGGTTAATGGACAGGCAGGCTTAGAATCCAGGTCATCTGATTTCCAGCCCTATGTGCTTTCTCTACCCCACGTGGCCCTTTAATGCCCCAGCAATAAACCAGCAGCTTTAAAATATGGCTAAACAGGGCAGAGTCTCCAGTGGGAAGATCCTCATTGTCTTTTTCACCTTCCATGCTGTGTCAAATATTGATATTTGTAAAATGATGGAAGAACTGGCGTCAGAAAATGTATGCTATGGCGACTCTCTGAATGAGGGCCAGAAAGAGAATAAAAAGCTCAGAGTGACCGGCCGCACATCCACACGGCTTCCCCAATTAACTCCAAACAGACTTTGTCTGGGATGAAATGATTTAGTCTCCACACAAGGTCAGTCCCACATATCCAGAATAAAGATTGCCGAATATGCTTATTTGAGCTGAATTACATTGGGTAGTTTAATAATATGAATTTACTGCCTTTTCAAGAGGGACTCTAACACTGGGGAAAACTTTAAAATGCATCACACTTAAAACATAAAATTAAATTCAATTAACTTTTATTGGGAGGCTAATACACTAGTACCCTAGAGGGAGAAACGAAGCTCTCAGCTTTCCCAAGATTTTCAAACCAGGTCTCTAAAATCCAGGCCAAAGATACTGGCCTGGCTCAGTCCCTCATAAAGAGCTTCACTGGGGATTTTACCATCTGTCCTCGGTGGAGAGGACCATGCCCGTAAGTCTCCAGCTAAAAGACCTTCAGGGTAATAAAACCTGGAATAATAAATAGGTAGAAAACACTACCTACCTACCTACCAAATAAAAGACAAAAAGCCAACACAGGCATGGACCCATGTGAGGGTCTCGGAGACCATTTGCTCTTTATTAAATCCTCTTACCTTCCTGCTATTAGGATAAAAGGTCACACCTATTTTTTTTTTCCATTTAGTACAATTAACACTCATATCAACTTACCAGATATTCTGAAGCCAGACTTAGCTTTCCTAGGGCGTTACTGCTCCTCTCACTACAGAGAGATTCCAAGTTTGTGGGCAGCTATAAGGAGGGTGCCTCATCACCCCCTTGTGACCTCATCAAAAGCAAGAGATGACATCAGCAGCTTGGGCTGTGGAAAAAACTGGATTCCGGACTGACTGACCAACTCTCCCAGAGGTGGGATGAAGGTATCTCATTTACTCATTTAACAAGTATTTAATGAGCACCTACAACACGCCATATACCATAGTAGGTGCTAGAGATCCATGAGTGAACAAAACAGAAATGATCACTGCCCTTTTGGCTACAAAAGAAGAGAAAATGGAGAAAACATAGAAATCAAGAATGACCCCTATCTTAAACAAACAACCCCCCCAATATCTCATTAAAACCAGGGCCAAACTCTCTGTAGCTGGTTGGAATGTGTCCAAGACTGCACCAATTTCCTGTTGCTGCTGTAACAAGTTTGCAGGAATTTTGCTTAAAACAACAGGAATTTATTGTCTTACAGTTCTGGAGGTCAGATGTCGGAAATGAGTCCTACAGGGGTACAGTCGAGGCGTTCCTTCTGAGGGGAGAATGTGTTTCCTTGCCTTTTTCAGCCTGCAGTGGTTGTCTGTGCCCACTATCTGTGGCCCCTTTGCTGCATCCAAAAAGCACATTGCTCCAAGCTCTGCTCCCTCCACTCTCTCCTCCTCAGACTCTGAGTTCTCCCGAGTCCCTCTCCAGGCCGTGGCCCTTACATCAAGCCCACCTGGATACCGAATTGTCTCCCCATCTGAGGATCCCTTAGTCACACCTGCAATTGGCCATTAAAGAAACAGTCACAGGTTCTAAGGGTTAGGATGTGGACGTACTTGAGTGGCCATTATTCAGCCTACCACAAAGACCAAACATAACACCCCAAACTTCAGTTATTTTGAGGGAAAGAGAAACAAGCTATTGAAGATGTGACCAGCAGGCACAGCAGTGAGATTTCCTCCATAATAATATTCATATTCCCTGTCCAAAAGTGGGCAAACACAAAGCAAGAACACAGGCTTTGGAGTGATATGTACCAGGGTGTTGGCTGAACCAGCTCAACCAAACACCTGCATGAACATGGTCAAGTTACTTAACCTCTCTGAACCTCAGTTTCCCCATTCCCAAAAAGGAGATCACAAAAGTACTCTCTTTCTAGGGTTCTTATGAGGATTAATGAGATTATACATATAGAGAGAATTTATTGTGGCATATAATAAGCATTCAGTGAAAGTTAATCTTATGCTGTTATTATAATTATTCAATCAGTGGCCGCTCAGCCAGGACTTGAATCCAGGGGTGGGTGTTTTGGAGGTCTCCATTAGTGCAGATCACCGAAATTTCCAGAACCCTCCCTTTCCCCTAATTGAAATCTGATCTATCCTGCGAGGACTTGTCTTATTTATTCATTGACCTTCTATACTTCCCAGCTGGGAGAATTCTCTCTCCCTTACCCTCTGACCCCCAATGATGTGCGTGCTACCCAGTAAAGGCTATCCCTAGTCTTGCCACTCCCAGGCTTTTTTCATTTTTTAGCACCATTTGTAGATTACAAACTGTTTGAGGGCAGAGACTGCTATATTAGTACTTAGTGCAGACGTGGCCAGAGTAGATACTCAATAAACTGATTACAGGGTTTATTCTTCACTGATCTGTAAGGAAACACAATCCCACATTCCTCATTAAAGGGGAGTCCGTTGTACGCCCCTGAAGTAGTCTGCAACCTTGAAGTCGTGCCTCAGAAGTGAATTCAATCCTCATCTCCCTTTGACATTATGGGCTGGCATTGCCCCATACCCCAGGATGATGAAGGTCCTTCTTTCTCCATCTGCACACCAAGAAGTTCAAGTATCAGCTGCGTGCCGAGGGAAAACAGGAAACAGACTTCTCTTTGGATATAGAATTGAACAAAGAGCTCACACCAGTCAAAGCCAGTTTGAACCAGTCTGTGCTGCTCTGAAACCTTCCCAGCCTCCCTCTGAAGCTGGCACAAAGACAAGAAGAACATCATTGACTTCAATCTTTGGCCTTCTAACCAGGAAAGGACTTGTGAAGGTGAATGGTTTGCAGACGAAGGGGATATAAAAGAGACAAAACCAGGATAAAAATTAAATAAAAAGTAGCTGTCTTAAACTGTAATTGCAGTCCTCTGCTGAGCACGCTTGCAGATATATAAATGTGATTTACCATCAGCTTGCAACTACAAATCAGGTCTTGAGAAACACTTGTGCTATGAAATTGTTTAATCTCATCAAGCTCTGCTTTCACAGCAAGCCATAAATCACAAAGTCTTTGTTATCATAGACCTCCACCAGCGCCTCTCTGGCAGGCTATGGATCGTGGGTATATATAATCTTGACTGCACAAACACTGGGGTCGACGCAGGCTGAAATACTTTCATAATAGCCACTGTGCAGCTGGTGGAACACAAGCCTATGATGGATATCTCATTTCCTACAGTCGGCATCTATTTCGAGCAAATTATTACCACATAAATTTCTTGTCAACAGAAACGGCCAATTAATTAAGTTAAAAATTTACTTGTGATCACATCTACAAACCAAATAGAACTGCAAGGCAATTTTCCAGTTACTGAATATACTGCAGGTCAGTTTAATGAATAATTTTTAACTTTGTCATAAACTCAAAGACAGGCTAATATCTCCAGAAACCTGAATGGAGACCAGCTGCCGACAGATTTACACAAAATATATTTATGTGGAATTTGATTGCTGACATCTGGGGACAGAAATAAACTTTCTATAATTACAGAGGCATCTTTGCCATATACATGAATTTCTTTCACCAAAAAATGCAAATCTGTCCCCAGAAAGGGTATATTTACATTTGCAGGCAGGGCTGCAATGGGGCTAGATGGCTCTTGGAAAAATCATTGCATTAAATTCCTGCGCTAGTGATGGGTTCATTATCATGGGGGAAGACAATAACAGGCCAAGACCTGTTTATCACCGTCCCCCACCTTCCACACACAAAAATCGGGATGCTTTCTCTCTCTGAGGTTGTAAGCCACTTGGCACACACCCAATAGTGGAGGCAGCATTGGGAGGATTTAGGGCTCTGTCAGGTAGGGCAGATTGACACAGCTTCCCCTTAGAGTTATTATGCATATAAAACAGATCTACGTGGAAATAAGGCCAGCAGAGGGCCCTTCATAATTCCTGCTCTAACCATGTCTCTTTGAACTGAGGAAAATCCATGGGGGATGAGGGGAAAGATATCCAGGCGAGTACAAAGAATATGGATATGGGGAACGTTATCAGACCTAATCCTAACAGTGATTTGCTCAACCTGCAACCCACTGGACATAGAATCATGGTTTTCATTAGGGTCGTTATAAACCCCAAATGTAGAGGGCATTCAAGGTCCTCCAAATTACAGTCCCTGTCTATGCTTAACGATTTCATTGCTCCCTACCCTCAACCCGTCATTGTTAAATGATCAAGCTAGACCATTTGATGTTCCTCCAACATGCCCTTGGGCTTTTTGTACTTCTTCCACTTTGCTCCTTCAAAGGGCCTTTGAGGTCCTTTTCTGTATACCTCCACTTGCCAAATTCTTGTCTCCAAGATGATCTCCATGGCTTTCCCTCACCCTGTAGAAGAGCTTTGCTCTTCAGAAAGACACTTCCTCCTACACAAAACTTGAGGGCTTATCATTCTACCCCGAGTAGAATTAGCAGTGGTGAGTTCACAGTCACTGAAGTGTTCAAGAAGATGCCAGACAACCACTTGGTGGAGATGTTGTAATCGGCATTCAATGCCTGTGGAGGGTTGGATCAAATAACCGTTAAGGCTTCTCACCCCTGGGAGCTTAAATTCTTTGATGGTTACTTGTGCCCTTTTCGGCAAGCTTCTTGAAGACAGGGATCATTTTACTCGTAGTTACAGTTTTCTCAGCACATACCCCAATACACATACCCCAACAAGAAAAAAGGCAGACTCTCTATAAATGGTATCGCAGACTGATTTTATGGAGCTTTTCTCATACTTGTTGCTCTCAACTCATGGTGGCATTTGACACACACCAGTGTCATCACCATGAGCAGCACTGATACGTGCCTATTGGACCTACAACACTTGCTTAGAATTCTGAGAACTCCCACAGATAAATAGTTCTCTCCCATCCAAGTTTTAATTAAGGAAACAAGTCACATAGTGAGCTTATAATACACCCAGAACAAACAGGGACTAAATAAATGAATGACCAATGTGAGAAATATAATACAAAATAAGATAGAAAAAATGCTAAATAAATTATATTGATAATGTCCAGTTTCAGAGTATACAGGTATACAATACAAAAACATCTGAGTTTCAGAACCTAAAGCAGGGGTCCTCAAACTTTTTAAACAAGGGGCCAGTTCACTGTCCCTCAGACCATTGGAGGGCCAGACTATAATTTTAAAAAAACTATGAACAAATTTTGAAGTAAAAAAACAAACGAGCAAAAACACCCGCGTGTGGCCCACAGGCCATAGTTTGAGGACGCCTGACCTAAAGGGTACACAGAAGTAATTCCACATAATTATTCATTTCACCACTGTGTAAACCAAGCCCCCCACCTGAACCACCTTGCCCAAGGCAACTAAAACAGAAGATGGCAAAAGGGAATCGTGCCCAGCTGTCCTGAATACCTACATGCCCACCAGTCTTCCTATCACACCCTAGATCCCTTATCCACTATACCCCATAATCACTTTTCATTCCTTCCTGGTTAATTCCATGTACCTTGAATCAAATTATAAGCACCTCTTCTATGGTTCAGGTCTCAGCTCCATTCATGTCCCTGGATTCTCTCGGAGAATAGAACATGTTTCCAGTTTCCCCCTTAACACTGATCTTAAATGTGAAGACATTGCCTGAACATCTCATTTCACCAATAACCTACTCTAGATACCCTCCAACCCCTACACACATATCCGAATAAGTTAAAAGCAGAGGTTGGCTGGATTCAAATCTTAGCTTCACCATTTACTAGTTATGGGAACTTGGGCTGGTTACTTGACTTTTCAGTGCCTCAGTTTCCTTGTCTATAAAATGGGGCTAAACTAGCACCTACCTCATAGTATATTAAATTAGATATCACATGTAACATTTTAAAACAAAGCCTATAAGAAGTACTTGTTTTGTTTTTTTAATCCTTAGCC